TTGCACGTATTCTTATTATAAATCAAGTTTTGTCATATGCATAGACAACATTATACTAAATGATTCACAAGATTTCAACTTCTTATTTTTTTGTTAATTTTGCTTCTAATTCGAAAATTTTCCCTCACGTATGTTGATCGAGTGCCACTCTTCTCCTTTAAATAGAGTGGTCATATAAAATGCAAGATATATTTATCAAAACTGAGTTGTCAAAACGCATGCGTCTTTCAATTCAAAAACTAAGGGAACAACGAACTCATTCTAACCCTATCAAAAAAGAAGCGCCACTTTTGGGTCACTAGAGGGGCTCATAACCAATAAGCTCCTGTTTGGTTGCTATTTTTTTTTTAAAGAAATATTGTTTTGAATAGTGAATTTTTGAAGAATTTGTGGTTAAAAAGTAGAGAATTGTTTTGAATTTACATGTAAAATATTTTACTGTGTGAATGTGTAATTGAAAATAAATTTATAGAAAGAATTTTGAAAGAATGAGAGACCAGCATGGGCTAAATAGAACGATCATTCTATATTAATTCTAACATTTATAGAAAGAATTTTGAAAGAATGAGAGACAAGCATTGGCTAAATAGAACAATAATTCTGTATTAATTCTGACAGCATATTTTCTTACAAATACTAGATCTCATATAATTATGAGTTGGGTTTAGCATTTTAATGTTTAAATCAATGATTAGGTCTGTTACCAAATCCTTAATCTCAAATGCTAATTGTTCCAACATCTATACAAATTTTGAGTGACTGGTCAGCCCCCGTTTGACAAGCATTGAAAAGAATTTTATTGGAGAAAATGAGTTTTGAAATAATAATTTTTTGGAGAATGTGTGATTAAGAATTTCAAAATATTTTATTATGTAAATATGTTGTCGAAAAAGAATTTGAGATTTTTCTTTTTTGAAAATATGAATTACAAATAGGGTTTGTTTATTTAATTGAAAATCAACCCTGCACCATTTTATCTTTGAATCATGCTTGATGTACAGAGCTACGACCCTGTACATCACAGGGGGCCAGCTGTATATATATCTTTATCATTTATCTTTTCAACCATGCTATGCTTGTCAAGGAAGGTTTGATACCCTCCCTAACAACACACTCACAATAAGGGGAGGGGGCACTTTTTTGGGATGTTTTATTCACACGGATCTCACGTGGACCTCACGCCCATGTGAGGGTCGATCGAGGGGAGTGTCAAACTCTATCAGATAAAGAAGCTTAATTCTTATCTTTTATAGCTAACATTGTAAATAATGAATAACATGAAAATGACTCTGATTTGATGTGCACTGCCAACTCCATTTTTCCTCATGTTCTCATCAATTAATGTCATTTCCAGGCACAGAATACCATGTTCAATCACATATATTTTAGGATAATTCTGCTCAAACAGGGAGTTTTGACAGGGTTTCAGTGACACCCTGAGTTGTCAGCCATCGATTGCATGTTGTCTGTGTATTGTTTTTAAGCCCCCATTTGAGCCCCATTTTTTCTCATTCAATTACATTAATTTTTTCTCTCTTTTCATCTCAATCACACATTCTCAAATAAAATAATATTACACACAAATCTAAAACATTTTCACCACATATTTTCCCATCAATCACTATTTTACAAATTTTCAACCCCAAAAAATGGGGGCCAAACAGGGGCTAAATTGTCCAACTAGTGTGTGACACGTGTCTATTTTTTAATCCTGTCAAAATTCCCTATTTGTTTGTGTAGCATTACTCTTTTATATTTTATTCCCATATTCTTTTATAGATCATTAAATGTAAATATATATTTACCTCAAATTAAACATGTAGGCCTAGTAAGATGTTAAACTTGAGCTTGAAATATTTTATTCTTGATAAATGACTCAATTATTGGGATGGGATAAATCGACTAATTATCCTGTTAATATTTGGACTTTTTTCGAGTACTAATAGACAAGAACGTGTTTGGAACTACGTTAATGCAAGCAACAACCTATTTTGGATAGAGAAAATGTGTGTTTTAATGAAGTATTGAAAGGAAAAGGATAATAGGAAGTAAAATGGAGAAAAAGAAAATTAAAAATGTCGGATAAAACCACTTGTACATTCTCTTGTTTACATAGTGGTTTACACTCCATTGAGTTTCAAATTGAAATGGGTGGGAATGTGTGTTTAACTATCCAATGATGTCAAAACACGTAGCACAATATCAAACTTGTTGTCAAAGAAAATATACATGTAACATGATTCAAAAATGCCAAGTATGTTTTTGTTGAATTGAAAAGAAGAGTGTTCATCCTGTCTAATCATCTCTCCCCACCATTATGCGAGTTGTGTAGTGATGTAAAAAGTGGGTGGTCGAGTCTTTATTGTTCGTTAATATTATATAGTCACCGAAGGTTCTAGAGGGGAAGCTGAAGTGGGGGCAATAAGACAATTTCTCAATTATCCTTGGAAGTGAGGTTGTATAGATATCAAACGATTTGATTATGTCTCTAAAAAGTCATTTGACTGAACTAAGGTGACCAACCGTAACAAAGAGAGAGAGAGAGAGAGAGAGGCTCATTTCATGTTAGCAGCTCGTGTTTTTTTTTTTTTTTTAACCAATTGATCTACGCAATGTTCAAGTCTTTTCGTGCGTGACGCATGGCTAATAATTAAATACTAGAAAGAAATCTAGTTGGTAAGGGATCCAAAATTTATGATCATTCACACCTAAAAGCCTTGGAATATGACCCTTCACTAACAAAACTTATATTTGTGTTGTGTAGGCCCATAAAAATTTAAATGCTTTGAAATGAGCCAAAACGAAAATGGTATTTCCACATCAATAATTCGACGACACTTAGGCTCTCTTTCACGTGTATTTTCTCATGCGGTGCAATTTGTTGGGTTAGGAACATTTTATTGATTAATTTAATAATCCATTTGCTTATTAGAATCCAAAAATCCCACATCAATGTGTTTTCCCAATAGTGAGTGGGAAGAAAATAGCCCAATTTCGTACCCAAATTTGTTGTATGTTATTTTCCTAAATGAGGATCATGCTTGTTGAAATTAAGGCAATGATACACCGTATATGAGTGGCCTGCGATGGTTTCTATTCATATATTATTATTTTTTAAAATTTAAAAATCATGAACAATATGTCATTCGAAAAAAAAAATACTAGAATATTAGAGAGAGAATGAGTAAACATCGAAACTTAAACTAAAAAAATATGTGAATGCTATATAATTACCCATTTGAAAATGTGATTCGTACGTTTCATTAGCTAAAAAGACGTTTTAGAGATATTAATTAAGATAAATATATGAATTACTGTATTTTACTTCAGTTTAATTATTCACACCACATTTTTATTAGTTACGCTACATTTAATTGCACTTAAGGTCCTCGAACTGCTCATTATAACCCTTATGCCTTAATTTTTTCAATGCATCAACTTTCCATTAATTAGCACGTCTCTTCTCTAATAATGGTTTCCATAAAAGAAGTTCATTTGAGAGAGTACAGTGNTCAACTTTCAATTAATTAGCACGTCCCATCTCTAAAAATGGTTTCCATAAAAGAAGTTCATTTGAGAGAGTAAAGTGACTTATTTGTCCATCGTATACTTAAAAAATAATAAATGCAAAAGTTCAACAAATGTGAAGTAACAAATATTACATTTACTTCGTAAAGAACTCCGGTAAACTCTATAAATAAGGTATCAAATAATCAATAGTATTGTATCAATATGTATAAAATAAATATTATGTAAATAATTTATCTTTTATCTATACAAATAGTTAGCAAATATTGAAGCTATTTTATCTATAAATGTAATATTATTTTTATTTATTTATATTTTACTACTTTGTTGTAGAACTATGTAAACAGTGAACTCTATTAAAAAAATTTAGTATTTTTATAATCATTAGAAGAGAAATATTAGCCTAAGAATTATGCTATTTGTTCATCCCATGGTGACATTTTTGTTGGCATCGTGTTTGTTGTCAAAATTTGTGCCATTGATTATTTTCCTCGCACCTCTCTTGTACATAGAAACGGCCGCCTCAAAAATTCCTTTATCTAGTAGGAATTTTAGAGTAACCTAATACATGTTAGTTTAGGTAATATATCTCTAAATAAAGAGTCGTGGTTGACGGACTTAGTGTACAAAATCATCGAGTTTCATTTAGTCGAACATCATCATCACTGTATCTGTACTTGCTACAATGCCAGATAGGTAACTGTCACATTATGCACGAATGCGTGACATATAGGCTTCATCGTCAAGACAGCCCACTTTCCTCAAGACCTCAAATAAGGCATCCTTGCTAGCCATATCGGATTCTTGCTCAGAAATCTTGAGAATCGAAGAGACATTCACAGGTTTTGGCCTCCAGCTCTTTGAAACTTCAGGGAAAATGGCATTCTGTAAGCAAGAAAGAGCCTCGGAAATCCTCCTCTCTCTTATGTGGTCTTCTGCAAGGATCTCCCACGATGTTGAATTTGGTTTTCCTCCTGCTTCAATCATTTGGCTAAAGAAAGTCTTGGCTTTTCTGAAAGCCCTTTTCTAACATAGTAACCCAAGAGAAGATTTCCTATTCTACAGTCGTAAAATGATTTCGCAGAAAGCCATTCATTATAGATCATTTCAGCTCCTTCAATATCATCCAATCTAACCAGAGAGGAAATTACGGAATGGTAGCCTAAATTTGGAATACTCGGAAAGGTAGCCTTGTAAAGGTTCCACGCACGATGAACCTCCTTCTTGTTACCAACACTACCGTAGAGACTAATGAGATAATGATAAGGAATTCGATCCCGACCGACGATTCTACTTTCAATGTTCTTTATACAGTCTTCAGCCTTTTCTAGCTGCCCACACTTGATGTACACAGTAGCCATTGTGCTGAAAGTAGTCCAGTTGGGAGTGATGGTGGTGTCCCCCTGCATCCGTTCAAATACTTGTTCCATTTTTTCAAGAGATTCTTGTGATCCACAGGCCGACAACCAAATATTATAGGAGTAGATATCCAATGATATGTTTTTCTCTATCATTTCCGAGATCATTAACTCGACCTTATTGTAATCTTTAAGGTCCATATAGAGTGTCATCATTACATTAAATGGGAGTGCATCGCAAGCATAACCTCTCTTTCTCATTTTATCAATCAACAATTCAGCTTTTTCCCTCATTCTGGCACCAGCATATGCATTCAAGAGAGCACCAAAGATTCTTTTGTCCTTCAAGGCATCCGGCAACTTCAGGAAGTATTCTTCAGCACTTGAAATTCCATGCACTTTAGCAATCAGATCGAGTTGGATAGCAGTGTCACTGGTGGTCATTCTGTATTTCTCTCCTCTGTTATTCATCCAATCGTAGACCTGCAGATTATAGAAAGTCCATGGATAATAGAGTGACATAGTAACTGGAATTGAAATGAATCTCTGTTCATCCAATTGCAGAAGTATCAAGGTCTGTTAGACCACGCATAAAAGACATTTCTATTGAATAAATACACAAGCCTGCATCATTGTGTGTGTTCATGGGTCGTTTGACAATGAATATAACTTTTTCTAATAAATTACAGAAAACATCAAATATATTCATATGGAGGTACATGGTCTATACATATTGCAAAATGATTTTCATTCAATGCTCAGCCCTTTCAGTTCCTTACCTAAATGACAAAATCCCACCTCCTTCGAAATCTTAATTCACCACATCTTGTTTTTAATCTAAAAGCTATAAGGTGATTCTCTACTTAATGAGTGTAAACCTAACTTGAGCCATTAGTTACTCAAAATTTTCATTACCGTGCTATACTTGTGTGGCTGTGCCAATATGAGACAAACCAACACAATTACATGTAAATAGCCTGATATAAATAGGTCCCCAATAAGACCCTAAACTTAGTACACAT